CTACTACCACATGAAGTTTTAGCTGTTTGACTCTCAGCTACTACCACGTCAAGCTTTAGCTGTTTGACTCTCAGCCACTACCACGTCAAGCTTTAGCTGTTTGACTCTCAGCCACTACCACGTCAAGCTTTAGCTGTTTGACTCTCAGCTACTACCACATGAAGTTTTAGCTGTTTGACTCTCAGCTACTACCACATGAAGTTTTAGCTGTTTGACTCTCGGCTACTACCACATCAAGCTTTAGCTGTTTGACTCTCAGCTACTACCACATGAAGTTTTAGCTGTTTGACTCTCGGCTACTACCACATGAAGTTTTAGCTGTTTGACTCTCGGCTACTACCACATCAAGCTTTAGCTCAATATTCAGAAAATTGTCAGCCATTTCTGTGTTGGCTGATATCAACTAGTGAATCTGTATTTCCTGCCAAAATCCACTGAGACTATTGCTGAATATTTTGCTAAATCTGCTGGATGAACTAAAGCGTACCTGAAACTTATTAATAGCTGAAAAGAGCACAGAAAGTGAAAACATCAGAAAAATAACTGAAAAGTACAGAAAAAGCTGAAATTTGCAAAAAGAAGTTAAGTAGAAGCAACGAGCTAAAGTTAGCAGGGAATTGTAAAAATCTCAAATTAGCAGAAGAAAGACAAACGGAGCACACACACACAAAAAGTTGCAACTGAAGCTAAAAAGAGCCACAAAATTGTGAAATTTGCTATAAAAAAAAAAAAAAAGGCTCAAATGAGAACAAAAAATAGTAACCAACGACCCCCACGACCTGAAAAGGAAGAAGCTGGTAAAGATAATAGATGGATAGTTCTAAAGTACCAGTAGATTGGGGGGGAGGCCCAAATTAGCAGAAAACTAGCTATAAAGGTAGCTGAAAAGCAAAATAGAGTCTAAATTAGCTGAAAAAGCTGAAATGGGGAGTAAAAGTTTGTAAAGAGTTGAAACGGTTTGAAGGATGTGAAGAGAGCGTCATTCATTTTCAATGAGGAAAACATGGCCGACAAATCTTAATATTTCAGCAAGTTGCTCAAATACCAAAATTCAGAGCAGGAATGTCCTGAATGAGTGTTTTGATTTTCGAACTGCTTAATTAGAAGAATAACTGCTAAACAGGTTATGTGCTGAAAAATGTACAGAATTGTGTGACTTCTTTAGATCATACCACTTTATTAATAAAGCACTTAAAACAGCAGCGAGGCCAACCACAGTGCTGGACAACAAAAACAAGCAAAGGACACAGGATAAAAATATACAGTAGATGCAAATGGAAAAATATAATGCTAACATTGTAGAATACAGTCAGGATTACAAGTTACACAGTGTCAAAAGCCAGGGAATAAAAATGAGTTTTTAATCAAGACTTAAAAACAGTGAGAGTGGGAGCCTGCCAGACATGTAGTGGGAACTCATTCCACAGTCTTGGAGACTTGGACCTGCAACAGAGAAGGCCCTGTCACCTCTGAGTCTGAGACAGGTTCCTGGAACCAATAGGAGCATTCTGATCTGCTGACCTCAGAGCTCTGTGGGACATATGGCTGCCGCAGATCAGCAAGATAAGAGGGGACAGAACTGTTCAGAGATTTAAAAACATACAGAAGGATTTTGAACTGAATTCAAAAGTGAACCGGGAGCCAGTGCAGGGAGGCCAGAACTGGTGTAATGTATTCTCTTTTGTCTGTACTGGTTAAAAACTGGGCTGCAGCATTTTGGACCAGTTGTAATAATTGTGTGATGGAGGTCTGACTGATTCCAAACAGAAGCACATTGCAGTAATTGAGTCTGGATGTTATGAATGCATGTACAGTGGGTATGGAAAGTATTCAGACCCCTTTAAATGTTTCAGAAATACTTTATTAATCCCAAAGGGAAATTATTTGTTGTTGTAACTTGTGATCCTCATTTCATTAAGAGATGTTATAGATACTGATGCTGTAGACAGGAAGGATCTCTTGTAAAGGTCCATCCCACAGTGGATCCTAAGAAACTGGCTGCAGATGCCGTCTGATCCGTCCACCCAGACTCGGCTGGTCTCCTGGTTCCCCCGGGCTGTAGGACCACCCGAATGCTGGGCAGAACTCCTCCCAGAGCAATGGCCACTCCTCCCAGCAGTCTGCTGAGCTCCTTGTCGCTGTGGACAGCCAACTGTAGGTGCTGAGGGACGATCCTGTCCTTCCGCTGTCACGAGTCGTGTTTCCTGCTAGTTCCAGGATCTCAGTGGTCAGGTACTCGAGCACAGCTGGCAGGTAGACGGGAATGTGTCCACAGAACATCTTTTTCAACTCATTTTGGGGCTGTAGTTTAGATATTATTTGAGCTTTTGAGATTTCACTCTGTTTCATTGTGGCTTTTTGCTAAAATCAAAAAAGTTCATTTAATTTCTCATTAATGTACACTCAGCACCCCATCATGACATAAAAAACCCAGAAATGTAGACATTTTTGCAAATTTATTAAAAAAGAAAAACTGAAATATCACATGTTCATAAGTATTCAGACCCTTTGCACTGTATTGAGTAGAAGCACCCTTTTGAGCTAGTACAGCCTTGTACAGTCTTCTTGGGAATGATGCAACAAGTTTTTCACACCTGAATTTGGGGATTCTCTGCCATTCTTCCTTGCAGATCTTCTCCAGTTCCATCAGGTTGGATGGTGAATGTTGGTGGAAAGCCATTTTCAGATCTCCAGAGATGCTCAATTGTGTTAGTTCAGGGCTCTGACTGGGCCAGTCAAGAATCGTCACAGAGTCGTTCCAAAGCCACTCCTTTGTAATTTTAGCTGTGTGCTTAGGGTCATTGTCTTGCTGGAAGGTGAACCTTCAGCCCATTATTAGTCCAGAGCACTCTGGAAGAGGTTTTCTTCCAGGATATCTCTGTACTTGGCCGCATTCATCGTTCCTTCAATTGCAACCAGTCGTCCTGTCCCTGCAGCTGAAAAACACCCCCATAGCATGATGCTGCCTCCACCATGTTTTACTGTTGGGATTGTATTGGGCAGGCGATGAGCAGTGCCTGGTTTTCTCCACACATACTGCTTAGAATTAACGCCAAAAAGTTCAATCTTCGTCACATCAGACCATAGAATCTTATTTCTCACAGTCTGGGAGCACTTCATGTGTTTTTTGGCAAACTCTATGAGAGCTTTCATATGTCTTGCACTGAGGTGAGGCTTCCGTCGAGCCACTCTGCCATAAAGCCCGACTGGTGGAGGGCTGCAGTGATAGTTGACTTTGTGGACCTTTCTCCCATCTCCCTACTGCATCTCTGGAACTCAGCCACAGTGATCTTTGGGTTCTTCTTTACCTCTCTCACCAAAGCTCTTCTCCCACGACTGCTCAATTTGGCTGGACGGCCAGGTCTAGGAAGAGTTCTGGTCGTCCCAAACTTCTTCCATTTCAGAATTATGGAGGCTACTGTGCTCTTAGGAACCTTGAGTGCTACAGAAATTATTTTGTAACCATGGCCAGATCTGTGCCTTGCCACAATTCTGCCTCTGAGCTCCTTGGGCAGTTCCTTTGACCTCATGATTCTCATTTGCTCTGACGTACTGTGAGGTCTTATATAGACAGGTGTGTGCCTTTCCTAATCAAGTCCAATCAGTTTAATTAAATAGAGCTGGACTCAAATGAAGGAGTAGAAATATCTCAAGGAGGATCAGAAGGAAATGGACAGTATGTGAGTTAAATATGAGTGTCACAGCAAAAGGTCTGAATACTTATGACCATGTATTCTTGTAATCCTTAATTCTTTCAGTTTTTCTTTTTTAATAAATTTGCAAAAATGTCTACATTTCTGTTTTTTATGTCAAGATGGGGTGCTGAGTGTACATTAATGAGAAATAAAATGAACTTTTTTGATTTTAGTTAAAGGCTGCAATTTAAATTCAAATTTAAAGGGGTCTGAATACTTTCCATACCCACTGTATTACAGTCTCAAGGTTATTTTTGGACAATATGGGCTTCAGCTTGGACAGTCACCTCAGCTGGAAAAAAACAGAATTTAACAATCGTGTTTACATGACTGTTAAGTTTCATGGAAGGGTCCATTATCACTCCTATATTTGTGAGTACTTGTTTCTCTAACGGGGCTAGAGAGGAAAGGTCGATACCGTGGTTCCTGATCGTGTCGTTAGGAGGAAACATGACTTCAGTCTTCCTCTCATTGAAACAAGAAATTTAAAGCCATCCATGGCCTGATGTCAACCAGGCAGTCAAGAAGAGGCTGAACAGAATGTGCACCAGTGTGCTTCAGAGGGAAGTAAATTTGACAGTCATCAGCATAGAAATGAAAGGGCATGTTATGCTTATAGAAAATGGCACCTAGTGGCAGCAGGTATAAAGAAAAGAGAAGAAGACCGAGGATGGACCCCTGTGGTACCCCCCACTGCAGAGTTGCCCATGATGAATTAAAATCCTTAATGTTGACACAAGAGGTTCTGTCAGAGAGATGTGATCTAAACCATTTGAGGGCTGACCCTGTGATGCCCAGCCACTGCTCCAGCCTAGAAATGAGAATCTCATGGTTGGTGTCAAAAGCAGGTGTAAGGTCCAGTAAGATGAGGAGCACAGAATCGCCTGCATCCGGGGCATGAAAATGTCATAAACATTCATATCATTAGCTGGGGTGACCATGTTGAATTGGGCTGACTCCAGATGAAAATGGACACCCAGTGAAGACGTCCTGCAAGTTTCATTAATGCTCTTCATGACACCTGAACTCATCATGTTCTGCCTTTGAGTGGCAGCAGTAACCCCACTGCGACCATCAAGTTAAATGGTAAATGGACTGTACTTTTATAGCACCTTTCTATCTTATTTCAAGATACTCAAAGCACTTTACAACAATCTGTGTCCTCATGTACCCATGCAAACAGCTCTATACTAGATCTCTACAAAGCTAATTGAACAAATCATTCTAAAGAGACTAATCAGAGCTTTAGATCACATTCGTACACTGATGGGACACACATCAGAGACTATGAGGGGTTCAGTGTCTTGCCCAGGGACACTTCAGCATGTGACTGCTGGTGGATTCGAACCCCCAACTCTCGCATTGGAGGACGACTGCTCTAACCACTCAACCACAGCCTCCCCAGTTCTAGGAGATGATTCCCCAAACCAGCAGGTCTCAGAGAGAGGAAGTCCAGTCTCAGTCAGACTGGGACAGCTCCTCGTGGTGTTGAACTTCCTCATGTCAGCACACTGCAGCAGCAGCACAACATTCTGACCCACTCTCAGTCTGACGAATAATCTAGAATATTTCTTGTAAATTATTTTTCACAGTCCTACAATAACATGTACACTATTCAGATGGGGTTACTGAATTTTCAGTAAATAAGGTTAATGATCCCACTGGTAATTTCAGAATAAACCAGAGAAAATTCTTTTGTTTTGATTAGTTTGAGATGCAGAGTGGATGCAGAGGGCTCATGTTTGATGTGGTAGTAGTTGAGAGTCATCCCCACCTACTCCAAGGGCCAACAGACTGTCCAAAATCTGTCTTTAAAATTTAACTGTTGGAGTTAACCCATTTCAAGATTGTTGCCACAACTAATGGTCATGCCAAACACAAATCAGCAATAACTCAGTCAGTTTTCCAGATTTCAAGCTGAAACTTGTGGTGGTAGTAGCTGACAGTCATTACAACCCATACTCAGTAGCAAATGAATTTGGGTTCTAACCTTGGCATGAAAGATGGCAGCTGATATTCCTTCAGAGAATGGTGGGTCTTTGTTTACCTGTCATCCTGCTCGGATCACAGTTCTGCTGTCACGCAGTGGTTCCCAACCCAGGTCCTTGAGGAACACCATCCTGCATGTTTAGTTGTTTTCTTGCTCCAACGCACCTGATTCAGTGATTTAATTACTTCCTCATGTTCTGCAGAAGAATGTTAATCACCCATTGATTTAAATCAGGTGGGTCAAAGCAGGGAGACAACTAAAACATGCAGGATGGTGTTCCTCAAGGACCAGGGTTGAGAACCATTGTTTTAAACTATCCTGATGCTGCTCAATAATCCAGGTAGAAAAATCCAAAAAAGTTCAATCTGGTCCTCTGGACATTCAAAAAACAAGAAAACAAAAACAAAGCAATAAAAATGTAGAAATGAGAGACGAAACGTTTCTACATTTTTTTTGCTTTGTTTTGTTTTTGTTTTTTTTGTTTTCTTGTTTTTTGAATGTCCAGAGGACCAGATTGAACTTTTTTGCATTGTTTTAAAAATCACACAACTTTCTTTAATTTGTGAAGTTATTCCAGATTTTATTGACACTTTTCTTAGAGAATGGGGAATAGGCATGTTTATATGAACATGTTAATCTGGGAAACCTGTCTGGTTCTGATGGTGTTTTGTCCCCTTGTGCTCAGGTTCTCCCGATCTGACGAGCTGTCTCGCCACCGGCGCTCTCACTCGGGCATCAAGCCGTACGAGTGCACGCTGTGTGAAAAGAAGTTTGCTCGCAGCGACCACCTGTCCAAACACACCAAGGTGCACCGCAGCTCCAGGCCCAGCAGGATCCTCAGAGCCACCGTGTGACCCTGAACGTGGGGGTGGGGGTGGTGTTGCCAGCGTTCCTCAGGACTTCAGGGTGCTCAGATTCGGATCATGGAGAGCTGCTGTAGTTTCCTTCCTGTCTCTTCCTGCTGTTCTCCTCGGAGCGACCCATCTGAGGAGCTCGCCTTAGAATGAGCAATTCGGCCACCTCAGGAACAAGCTGCACTCAAAGTGGACTTTACGCACACGGAACAGGAGCCGGGCTGACAGAGGCCCCTCTTCCAGCCATCGCTTGCACTTTGCTCCTGTAGCTGCCAGCCACTGTGGGTGGGGGGAAGGGGGGGGGGATCAATACCGGGAAGATCTGTCAGTGACCTGTTTCTGATCCACGTCTGCCAGTCCCTCATCCTCAAAGCCAAACGTCAGGGTTCACACGCACAAGTATCAGGAGGCGTCCTCCCATGTGTCCCAGTGGTGTCACGAGTTTTGATCACAAGGCCTGGCCAGACGGGGGGGGGGCGTGTGACAGAAACTCTCTCGGGGAAAATTATGAATAGCAAAGGAGCCTCCTGAGAAAGATGACATTTAGAGACAATCTAGTGTAAAGGAGCTGAATGTAACGTTTTCTGCATCCAGCTCTGGCCTTTTAGTCCTTTCATCCAGTCATGACTCGCTACATTTGGACCGTATGCCTTTCTCTGTCCTTAATGCCTTTGTCTTCATCACAAACTTCTTTGAACCCAGTTTGAGGGGTTTCATACTAGAGCCCGGCCGATATCTATATATATATATATATATCTATATATAGATATATATGTGTGTAGATATATTTGTAGATATTTTAGGCCAATTTAGGCGTTTGGGGACCTATTGGTATCGGTCATAATTCATTCAACCTTTATTTAGACAGGTTAATCCCACTGAGCCTCGGGGCTCATTTACAAGAGAGACCTGATTTCTTAACAAAGAGTGATGACAACAATGGACGACGACGACAACGATAGACAGTCACAAAACAGGCATACGCTTTTTTTTTTAACAAATCAAAACAGAATGGCAACCAAAAGGAAAAGTAGCAGGGAAAAACCCAGCTAGATTATAAGGCGGTGTCGAAAACTAAAAACAGGAACATGTCTGCGTTGGTTCTTGTCAGGAACTTATCAGATGTTTGAAGCCACTTAGAGAGGTCAAAGGTCGAGAGCTTCAGATCTTTTTGCAAGATATTCCAGGAAACAGGAGCGGAGTAGGAGAAGGTCCTTTTATCTAGTTCAGTCCTCACTGAGGGAACACTGCAGGTAATGATGTCCTGAGAGCGCACGCTGTAGCTGCACTCACACAGAGACATGTAGGAGGAGATGTATGAAGGCAGCAGACCAGGAAGTGATTTAAAGATGAAGATGTACCAGTGAGAGAGTCTGCGTGAAGTTAATGGTGACCAGTTAACCAGTGGATACTGGGTGCAGTGGTGGGTACGATAATCACAGCCAGTTATGAATCTTAGTGCACCATGATAGACAGCATCCAACATCTGCAGCATCCAACATCTGCAGGGTTCTTGTAGGAGCGTTCATGTAAATAATGTCACCGTGATCAATGGAGGGAAGGAAAGTCACAGATACAAGATGTTTCCTAACATTCAGGGTTAGACAGGATCTGTTTCTGAGAAAGAAACCCAGTTTAACTTTCTGTTTCTTTACCAAGTTTTCCACGTGAAGCTTAAAAGAGAGATGCGAGTCGACCAAGATACCCAAGTCTTTGTAGGACTCGACAAACTCAATAGGGTATAATATAATTGTCCCATTATGTGCCGATATAAACACCTCTAATTTTCTCCCCAAAATGCTGGAACGAGCCGTGTCCTTACTGGCAAAAGACGTAATTGTACAATGTATCCAGCATGTAGATTACTTGCAAGTCATGACGTTCACTTTGTTTCACATTCAGCGCAGACGAAGCAGGGAGCAACACTGTGGCGTGTTCTGCTGAACAGCATGGTGAGTTTATTTGAACTCGTCTGTAAAATCAATCGACAGTAATAAACTCTCTTCAATCCTCCTGCTTGTCATTAGCAATGCACCTCAAGTTAGCAAGCTAACGTTTAGATAACCTAGCATAGGCTATTGCCTTGTAAAACTTTATCCAGAACAATAAATGTAACGTAGCAGTAAATATATCAGCGTTAGTAACATTATCTTTGTCCTCAACAAAATGCCTGAAATTTTTATTTCTCTACAAAGAGAAGTAACCACTGCTGCGGTCAGTGCTAACTAAACCTTCACCACGTGACTGACTGTTGAAACGATGAACAGGAAGGGCGTTTCTTTATAATTTATATTTTGTAACACACTTGATAACTTTATGGTTGAATGGTGAAAGCTAGAAAATGAATGTGCGTTAGGAAGACTGTTTCAAGACTTCAAGTGTTAAAGCGGGTTTCAAAGTAGCGGGTTATTTAGATTCTTTGGTGACAACGCGCAAACATTTTCAGCCGTTATATCAGTTATCAGCGTTAAGTCTTCCTCGCCCAACACCGGAATCAACGATGGCCAAAATGTCCGTATCGGTCGGGCTCTGTTTCATACAACTGCTTTCATTTACCAGGGGAGGGGGTCCCTGTTGTAGTTACACCTGCAGTGCACGACAGTCTATAAGCTTCTTATTCTTTGAGAGTTCATATGCAGCCAACGTCTGTGGCCTAATAAACCAGTTGGCGTGCACGTGACACTTGGGCCCACTGGTGCTAAAGTGAAGTGATACACTGCTCTTACTACAATAGTACTTACTGTAAAGTCTACTCTGTTGGTTTGACACCACAGCATGTGGGAGCCTCAGAAAGAGAACATCAGGAGAAAAGTGGGCACAGATTTAGATTTGTTGATTAAATCAGTCCAAACATTAAAGATGGAGCGTAGTCTGAATGTTATCAGCAGGAAAACTTTCAGTGTTGAGAACCAAAGTGTCACTAATTCAGACTATAAGCTCCATTGTTGCTCTTATTCTACAGATACAGGTGGTTTCACTGAGTTGAGTAGAAAAAAGGCTGCAGGGTTTGATTTGGATCAGCTGGAGGCCCAGATCAGATCAGAGGTCCGGACTCACTGAAACTGTGACCGTCCCCTCACAACCTGCTCCTCCATGATCGTAAAGTTTCAACGACCTCCCTCACCAAGTTTTAAGTACTTGTTCTCAACATTGCGACTTTTTTTGTCAGTAAAAATGAAAGTATTTCTACTGTCTTGGTCGGAACATTACAATATAATGTGAAAACTGGAGCGCAAACCTCTCCTCAGTTTGAAGTCCTTGTGTTTGACCCTAATACTCTGTCGTAGGTCTAGCAGCAAGAAAAGCTAGTAGTTCAAGTAGCTGAAGGGCAGCTAACATGTACTCAGTTGTGTATTATTCTGCTCAGTATAATGTGTACTCAGTACAAAGGTCAACAACGTGTACAGCTCGTTGCCTTCGTGTACAGACTTTGTTTTTTAATCAGGATTTTGAACCAGTGCATTAAGCTATTCAGTCATGTTCCTCCATGGTTCTGCTCGGGCCTGCAGGACGACCCGTGTGTGGAACGTCACGTGTAGTCTGGAGTTCTGCTCGGCCCGTTCTCCGAACATTTGACTGAGTCTCAAGTGCACTTGTGTTTGAGAAAAGACACAAAATGTCTCGGAACCAGGAAACGCACAAGAAAAGGAAGTGCATGGTTCACGGAGGGTCCACCTTTTGGTTCTGAAAGCTTTGCTGCTTTCGGACCTTCTGGATTTCATGGAGTGGAACCAACTCAAACAAACTGGACTGAGTCTAATTGAGGACGGGCTCAGACTCGGAGCACTTCGTCATGTAGCAGCTCTTCTCCCGTGTCGGCTGTGAACCGTGGAGTCGCGCTGAAGGCAGCCAGACGGGCTGGTCCGTCTGAACCGGACCTGTCTGTGTCTGAGCCGCTTCTACTGACCTACATCCACCCGCTCAGCAGCAGTTACACTTTTCGCTCTCGGCTGTGTGTGTGTTTGTGTATATGATAAATATTTGCACACACACACCCAGACTCACTTTTTTTGTTTACTTTTGTCTTTTAAATACAAGAAATGCTATTTTCCTATCTGCAACAATAAAATCAACTCTGCATCTTTGGCTGTGTTGTTCTTCAGACTCTGACTGACTGATGGAAAGATGGGTTTAGCTTGCCCCGCCTCTTTTACACAACCCTATCAGGAGCTGCCTGCGTGCCTGTTAGCAACATATCTTGTGAACCACTGGACAAGAATGTGTTTGGTGACTAGCCCGACCTCTGCAGCTCCAGTCTGGTTCATGTGAACACTTGTATAACCTTCAAACTGGCCCGCTCTCTTCACACACGACCAGAGAGCAGCAGAAGCTGTTCCTGCAGCACTTCCTGCGTAAATCAGCCACACTTTCATTTTTTAATGTTCTTAAAGTGATTTCAGCTCAGTCGTAGTCAGTGAGCAGGTCCTCAGATCAAATCCCGGTCCAGGGGCCTTTCTGGGTGGAGTTTGCATGTTCTCTCCGTGCATGCGTGGGTTTTCTCCGGGTACTCCAGTTTCCTCCCACAGACCAAAAACATGCATGTTAGGCTGATTGGTAACTCTAAATTGTTTCTAGGTGTGAGTGAGAGAGTGACTGGTTGTTTGTCTCTGTGTGTCCCTGTGATGGACTGGAGACCTGTCCAAGTGTCCCCCACCTCACAGTGATGGCTGGACATGGGCACCAGTGACCCCCGCGACCTAAAAAGGAAGAAGCGGATAGAGATGATGGATGGAAGGAAGACTAAAACCCTGACATGAAAGGAGGTAGGCGACATGCATGTTCCTTCAGGAACACCAGGCTCACATGTCTCACACACTGTCTCTCCTTCCTGTCCTCTCAAACCAGCCGGTCAAAGCAGATGGCCGTTTGTCCTGAGTCTGGTTCTACTGGAGGCGTCTTCCTGTTAAAAGGGAGTTTTTCTTTTCCACTGTCTCCTTCGTGTTTGTTCAGGATGGGAGACTGTGATGAAGTGAAGATTCAACACAATCTGCTGCTTCCTTACAGAACATTTACTAATTGGCTTTTTTTTTGGGGGGGGGGGGGGGGGGGGGGGCTGTGGCTGAGTGGCTAGAGCAGTCGTCCAATGTGAGAGTTGGGGGTTCGAATCCACCAGCAGTCACATGCTGAAGTGTCCCTGGGCAAGACACTGAACCCCCTCGTAGCCTCTGATGTGTGTCCCATCAGTGTCTGAATGTGATAAACATTGATTAGTCTCTTTAGAATGATTTGTTCAATTAGCTTTGTAGAGATCTAGTATAGAGCTGTATGAACGGGTAAATGAGGCACAGATTGTTGTAAAGCGCTTTGAGTATCTTGAAATAAGATAGAAAGGTGCTATATAAGTACAGTCCATTTACCATTTTTTAAAACATGTATGTGAATGATTTTGTTCAGTGCCCTGACACAACATAACTTGTTGCTATAAACTGAAGTGATCAGGTCCTCTGCACACGTGGGAAAGTTTTCTACAGAATCTCAGACTGACCCGTCAATCTGACCTCAAAAGTCAAAATCCAAAAAAAAAAATCCAGTGTTACTTTGCAATAAAATTTTGTTTTCTCTTAAATCTCCTCAGAATAAAGAGAGTGCACAGCCAAGCTTCCACAGATTCAGTTCTGCCACTCGGTTCCAGAGTTATACGACCTAGCTTTTACACAGGAACTGTTTCAGGCTTACTTTTCAGTCCGTGGTTGTTGTCTGCCTTGCTTAAATGTGGCCGTCATGCAGTGAAAGGCACAGGTGTTTGGTTACCATGGTGACAATAATGAGCCCCTGGCTCATTGTTTTGTTCTGTTGTAGATGTTTCAATCTGCTCTAGATGTTTAATTTGTAGATGTATCATTCTGTTGTGTTGTTTGTCATATGCAGGTTAACACAAAGTCAAGAGTGCAATGAAATGTTCAGAATGAGAAGAACCGCTTCGACTCAAAATAAACAAACAAACAAAACAAAAAAACAAGCAAACAAGAAATACTAAAGCATGCAATAAAGGTACAAAATAAAGTACCATAAAGTGAAAAAGAAATATAATATTTATAAGGTCCAA